GTGGAAGTGAAGGCGTTTTCTGCAAAACAATGCCCCAGTGAGGCTGCTCTTCAACCCAAATGCCTTCAGCATCTTCCTTCACTGATCCACTGGTCACCTTTCATGCAGCTGCAGTGAGCACTCATTCTTTCCTGCCTGACTGTGCCAACTCCCAGCTAGGAGGATGGCAGTGACCTCACATTCAGCAGCAATGTACAAGTTAGGCATGTGCAGGAGATCCTGGCTCAATCTGTAGCACAGTGGTACCTCGGGTTAAGAACTTAATTCGTTCTGAAGGTCTGTTCTTAACCTGAAACTGTTCTTAACCTGAAACACCACTTTAGCTAATGGGGCCTTCTGCTGCCGCTGCACCACCACTGCACGATTTCTGTTCTCATCCTGAAGCAAAGTTCTTAACCCGAGGTAATATTTCTGGGTTAGCGGAGTCTGTAATCTGAAGAGTATGTAACCTGAAGTGTATGTAACCCTAGGTACCACTGTATGTCCATCTGAAGTTCTCAGATAGTAAAAGTGGGAAAGAACCACAGCTTGTGGCTTTTGAAAAGTTTCACTAGCCAAAGGGGTACTACAAGGGGCCAATGGTCTGAGTCAGAAATGAAAAGTGGGGGAGAAGGATTACACCAGCTATTCCTGCCCTCAACTTCCCAATGTTCATCTGAACCTGTTTAGCAAGCATGAGAGGGTTATCTACACTAATGCAAGTTTTGTTTAACAAGAGCTCTGTTGTTTATATCTTCAGAAAAAATGTGTGGAAGCTGAATGCATGGCCAAAAAAGTGCAATTTCTGTGTCTGTCTGCACAGAGGATCACATAAACAGGTCTACAGTACAAGTCTAGCAAATGTTATGATGAATTGCTATGACTAGTCACTTGCATTCCTTTCCTCTAAAAGGTATCCCTTACAAAACAAAAGTACCTTTCTCTTTCTATAGTTCATGCTCAAGAGTCGCTGTTTCAAAACTAACAAGGAAAAACAGGCTATGCAAACTTTGAGTCTGTTGTGAGAAGCATCAAGTAGAAGAATTAACTTTCAAATACAAGTGAGCATTCTTCCACGGAGAGAACAAACCATTTCGCTGGGATTATGTCAGCAATACAGAGATGAAACGCTTTGTTGCCAGTGGCAAATTGTGGGAGCAGTTCTGTTCATGTGGAATGGGAATAAGTATTTACTCAGCGTAAACTATTACTCAAGACATAGTCTTTTGAAATAGCACAGCTCTAGGACATGAAAATCTAAACTGATCAATCACACACAAGTCTTCCGAACAAGGCAAGGTAGAGATGTAAGGAAGAAGAAAACCAGCCAGAGGCTGCATGGTTTAAAAGTGAAAAAACAAAATACTTCCAGCATTTAGATTTCCTGACATGGAAGCATTCCCACAAATCATTCTCATATTTGAAAATGTGATGTCAGCATGTTAATTACATGGTGCTTGCTGCAAAACAATACAGGTATTGTAAAGCTATTCTCAGCTACCTCACTTGCAGGAGCATCCCTACATCCCAATTTCTAAGTACACCCTTACTTTCAGGATGGGGTTTTCAGGAGAGTTATTACAATGAAAATGAGGGCTGGAGAAGTAGTCTACTCTTCCACATTCTACTCTTCTGAATATTCCACTTTTCCAAATATTCTACTCTCATGTCACATCCATACCATATTGCTGTGGGTTTGCAGTGGGGAAGAATCCCCTAAAATTCCTGCATGCCAGGGTTTCCCCATAATTTCTGAAATTTGTAAATATGGGGTTTGATCAATAATAATAATTTTATTGTTTATACCCCGCCCATCTGGCTGGGTTTCCCCAGCCACTCTGGGCGGCTAATGGCATATCTAAAAACACCAAGCATTAAAAATCTTCCCATACTGGGCTGCCTTCAGATGTCTTGTAAAAGTTGTGTAATTCTTTATCTCCTTGACATCTGAGGGGAGGGTGTTCCACAGGGAGGGCACCACTAATGAGAAGGCCCTCAGAAGCCCAATGGATTTAGCAAGACCTAAAAAATATGTCAAGCCAGCTTCCATAGCAGCTTAGCTTAGAGATGTGCCATCAAAGAACTAAGAAAGATGATGGCAGAGTTATTACCTTGACGAAAGGTGAGACATTCAGTGTCAGACAAGATGGGGGGAGTGGAGTTCTTCCTCTAGCTGTGTGTGAGTTAGCAAAAGGCAATAGCTAAGTTGTCAGGGGACGTTGCCAGGGTTACAGAGGGAGTGATGTCACCACAGGGAAAAATAAGTGTTTTTTACGTGAGGCTCATTTGGAGCAAGGGTTTTTAAGGAGGAGGAGGAGGGAGAGGCCAAAACTCCATGTGCACTGACTGGGAGAGGCTGCCCTGAGAGACTGGAGAGCATGGCTGGTTTCTACTCTGGACCCAAGTTTGCTGAAGCTATGAGAGGAGCAGCAGGAGATGCTACTGGGGTATCATGTTCTGCACTCCCTCCACTTAAACTCAGGTGCAAATATGTGCCAAAAAAAGAGGAACACCCATATTTCTTGAAGACAGTACAATCACTGCTGTGCCTCGTTCCAAAGGAACACAAACCCTGGCTAAGTGCCAAGGCTCCAGGAATCTTGTGTCTGCTCAGCAGAGATTGGGGTGGCCTGTAAGAATACATTTCAAGCACTATGGTACCACTTTAAACGGTCATGGCTCCCCCCCCAAAAAAAAAAAATTCTGGGAAATGTAGCTTGTTAAGGGTCCTGAAAATTGTTCGGATACCCCCTATTGCCCTCACAGAGCTACTATTCCCAGAGTTCCCTGGGAAGAGGGGTTGGTTGGTTGTTGTGGCTTTAAAAGAGGTTTGGACAAATTCATGCATGATAAAGCTATCAATGACTACTCTGTCTCCATGGTCAGAGGAAGTCATGCATCTGAATACCAGTTGCTGGAAACCACAGAGAGAGGGCGCTTTTGTGTTTGGGTCCTGCCTGCCACTTACCCAAAGCCATCTTGTTGGCTGCCATGAAAACAGGATGCTGGACTAGATGGGCCATTCATCTGATTACATAAAATGCAGAAATTAACAGGTATGGAAGGTTCATGAAAACAGAAAAGGTGCTATCTGAATGTAACATTAGGCTTTTGTCTAACAGTCTGCCTTTCACAACCTTAGCACTGTAAGTATTTATACAGGGATATAAGTCATGCATGATTCAAGAGCATACCTGTTTCCCCACAAAGAAGAGACACAATCTCCATTTTTGCCTGGAACACATATGGTGAACAGCAAAATTGCAAGTATTTAGGTACCTAGATGTCTGCCATAGATTGTATATCTAAGAAGACTCCAACACAACAAGAAGGAGACTGTGAATCTCATAGAAAATAACCAGTAACAAAATTCATTGTGGCAACATGAAGCTGAGTGCTGTGACGAATTGCAAGTTTCAGAACAAGTTTTATCACAGCCAAAGCAGCTCGTTTTATTTTATTTTATTCTTACATTGCTTCATTTGAAGAAAATGGTAATTAGCCATTGCAAATTATCAATTGTCTTGGGACACTTCTTTCACTAAATGGTGTGTTCTCATCTCAGCTGGTCTTCCTCAACCACAATCCGCAAATGACAGTTTTTAAATTAGCAGCCACTCTATTATCACAAAAGCAGACACAACAGACAAGCTTACAACGAGAAGCTGGACTGCATTGTCTTTCAGAAGGGAGAAATGTATAACGTGCAATGAGGACCCTAAAGAAATATGACGTTTCTCACATTTTATAATAGAGCACCTATAACTCAACAGATTGAAGCAAGACACTTATAGGCATTTATGCACAATCTTTGGAACGATGTCCTAAAATACTACTTTTGTGAATTTTTACTGTCAATTCAGTGAAGACTGAAATTCTTTGAAGAGCTTCAAATTTAAAGGGTGGCCATATATTTGTTGTGGGATTGACAGCTGTGGCCTCTGACAGCAGCTGTACTTTATTATAAACATGGCAGAAAGATGTATTTTAGTACATTTATTCAAGGTAAGGGGAGATTCTTGGGGGGGGGGAGGCTAGCTGGTTTTTTTGCCCTGGGTGAAGCCTCCAGAGGGGCACCATTGAGGCTCCAAGCCTGAGTGTGTGTGCGTACACAAATGCACGAGGGGTCTTTGTCCAGTCTCAGACTCCTGGTGCTGACTTTGAACTTCCTAGTCATGCTTTTGGTGATCTGTACCTATAGCTTGACCTGTACCACTCCAAGCCTTGAGTAAAGATTTCTTTCTTATTAACATGTAAGAACATTTGTAGCATTTCGGACAGACGCCCCACCAGTGAGTAGAAGGTACAGCTGCTGTGCAGTGTCCTTTCAAAATCTCCCCTGCCCATGCCTGAACTCAAACACTTACCCTCTAAGCAGATGTTGTTGTTGTTAAAAATGAAAACATGAAATATTTGCATGTAAAAAAGTCAGCTATAAATAACAGCCAAATACCATATTTTTCGCTCTATAACACGCACCCGACCATAACACAAACGTAGTTTTTAGAGGAGGAAAACAAGGAAAAAAATATTCTAAATGAAACAGTGGATGTATGATTTTTGTGGTTCATGCTGTGGCCACAGACATGTGATCTGACAGTGAGTTTGGAGTAGCCCAATGCAAAATCCTGAGGATCCATGTGGATCCATGCTTTGTAACCACGTTTTTGCACCACTGCGGCCCCAGGCAACAGTGGGTGCGTGATTTTTTTTGGTGCAAGATGTAGCCATGGACATGCTATGTGATCTGATGGTGAATTTGGGGTGACCCAGTGCCAAAATCCTGAGGATCCATGTGGATTCATGCTTTGTAACCATGTTTTAAGTGGGGAGGGAAGGAAAAGCACTCAAGGGACAAGGAGCACGTGTGGGGTGTGTGGAGAAGGGTGCTGCTAATAATGCAGAAGATGGGTATAAGGGGAGAAGGCTCCTCTCCTCTCCCACTTTGCTCCTTTAAAGCAAGCAGGCTCTGCTTTTCTCGCTCCTCCCTGCTCATCCCCGGCTTAGTGAGCTGAAAAACTTTGCTGCTATGTAGGGAGCTGAGTGGGGAGGAGAGAGGGACAGAGAGCCTGCTTGCTTTAAAGGAACCAACCGGCTCCTCTCCTCTCCCGCTTTGCTCCTTTAAAGAAGCAGGCTCTCTGTCCCTCTCTCCTCCCCACTCAGTGGCTCTTCTCCCACTTTGCTGTTTCAAAGCGAGCCACGGAGGAGGGAAGGAAGGGGAACCGTGGATCCTCTGCTCACAACTGCAGCAGATCCCCCCCGCCACCCATAGGCATTCCCTCCATAACACTCACAGACATTTCCCCTTACTTTCTAGAAGGAAAAAATTGAGTGTTATGGTGCAAAAAATACGGTAGTTTTCTATGTTATCAAGATAGAGGCTACTCTTCTACACTAGTTAAGAATTTCCACCCTCCTAAACAAATATCTGAAGAAGATGTTCCTCAATCCTAAGCATGTTAGCTCACTGGGGTTGACCCCTTGGTTAAGTCTGCAGTCCTAACCTCACTTACATGAGAACAAATGCCACAGGATTCAATAAGACATATTTCTCAGTAGACACAGTTAAGATCGTGCTCTAAGTGTGTTTAAAAATGTGACCTGATAGTTTAAAGAGAGAGGTCTCCCAGCTCAGTTCACAAACTATTTAACTATTTAATCCTGACTACTTGGGTGTAATTTGATCCCATCAAATAAGGAACCACTTCCAACCCTTATCCTATCACCAAGTAATAGCTCAGAATGAGTCACAGCAGCTGTGATCCCATCACGACATCACTAGGTATGACGTTACGACAATGTTGCAGTTATATTACAAGCATCTACTGCACACATTACAAGACAGCTGGCACCTATAGGAAATCAAACAGCTTAATTCAAAGTACACTTGATTAATTGATTTGCACATCAAGCTCTTCACAAATACCATTTTCTCAGTTTTGGCACTCTTGGGGCTTCATTTAGTCTTGTCGCATTTGCCAACAGACTTGCAGGCAAAAATATTTCCACAGTTTCCCAAAAGCAATCTAAATAATCTTTTAAAAAACAAACCAATCGGGACTATATATATCGTCAAAAATGCATTATTGGAATGCTCATCCTACAGCCCTGCTTCTTTCTCTTTTTAAAGTAGAACTTTACATGTTGACAATTGACTTCATAGCACTGTATGTGCACCTCAAGGGTTAAGTCAAACCATTGGAGAATCACAGCGCCTGCTGTGGCTGCAGAGACTGGTAACTCGTAACTGCTGCCTCCCATATTGTTTTTTTGCTGTGTTAGCAGCACCATAGTGATCTCTCTAGGGCACAAGCCTGGGCAGTGTGTATGGAGGTCCTGGGCTGCCCAGATGACAACACACCCCTCTCAGCCTCACTGATGTGAGCCAAAGGAAAGGAGAGCAGGACATTTAGCACCTGCTTGGTTGCAGGAGTTGCTGGAAGGAGGCATACAATATGCCATCCAACAGTCTTAGGGACTCCACTCTGGATTTGTGTAGAGTTTATTCCTTAGCCTTTTCTTCTCCCAAAGATGTCCTGCAAGGCAGCAGGTACAGATTTTTCTTCAGGATTTACTCCCAAAGCTTTTCTCGTGAAGAAGTATAGCTACAAGGCAATAGAGGTTTAGGATCAGAGTTTTCCTTCTCCTGGTCGGCTACCTTCCTAGGCTGACAAGCTCCATCTGCCCCTCACTTTTCTCTACAGCAAGTGCAGAAATTGCCTTCTAGATTTTTGGACCCACTATTGGTCTCATCTGCTCAATCCACTGAAGATTGTCTTCGCATGCAGGGACAGTTCCTAACTCACAGAGGGTTTGAGACCCATCAGATATCCTCACCTGGTTCAGCCTGCCAATCAAAGTCGTTTCCCATTGTGTGGCCACTGTCACATGCTGATCACTTTTAGGAGCCACAAGTGAGAACTGAGTACAGGATGGGGACCAAAGGTGGGCAAACTACCTCAAAATGTTTAAAATCATCTCACTTGTAATTTTCTCCATTGAAATGTTTTCTTATGTTGCAACTATCTCATTTGTAGTAAACTTCAGGCCATGGGCTCATACACAGGAACATCAAGCCAATTGTTCGGTTTTGCAGTGTCACACTTCATTATTTGTTGACGTTAAGCAATTGTGACAACCTGTTAGAAAAGGAAATTTACCCAGCAAAAGGTTACACAAAGCTGGTAAATCACGGGTGCAGATTCTACACCACAAGACATATTTGGTCATAAACATTACACGTCTAAACACATAGGGCAATGTGGACATCCAGAAACTCTAGCAAAGGATGCTACAGTGGGTTCAAAATAACTGAAGGAAGACACAGCACTTGTCCCCAAGAATTTCAGAGCCAGGCTAGGCTGTACAGTAGACTTGGCCTGGATGGTGGAATTCAAGGAAGGTATCTCTACAAAATATTGTCTTCCTTCTAGACAATTGAAAAAAAATCACAATATGATTTATGAGAGTGGATTAATACAATAATAATAAATCATAATGAAATGCACCAATACAATAAAATGCCATCAAGACAGCAAACAAGAAGGTTTAAAATGGGCATCAATAGTCAGGGATTAATGTTGGGGGAAAGTTTTTAATAAACAACAAACTCTGTGGTGCCTGCTGAATTGTGGGGGGAGATCATTCCACAAAATAGGCACCACCACACTGATCGGTATGTATCTTGCTTTATATGCAAGATATGCCTGGGCATTGGTAGATGTAGAAGTCACCATCTAACACAGACCTAGATGTGTGCCTTCTGCTGCATGATAACCCAAAGCATCACCGAAACGTTTTTATACCTATCAAAGCTTCCTCCAATAATGAAGCTGAATGTTCAATTAAAAGAAAAGATCAACAAAATGAGGAAAAAGGGAGCTAAAATATACTCGGAGTCCTGTAGTGATTTCATGCTCTTTATTGCAGCTTGTAAAACAGTGATTGAATTGCCCCCCCAAACCTCAGGCTTTTATATACATTATTTACACAATGAGTCCCGTCTGATTGGCTGATGTTGCTTCCCTCCTGGAGCCTGATTGGTCTTTTCCTGCACGCCAATCAGTTGTTGCATTCTACGATCCTACTAACCTAATAGGCTGATTAACTTCCTCCTGGAGCCTGATTGGTCTTTTCCTGCAAGTCAATCAGTTGTTGCATTCTAGGATCCTACTTGCCTATTGTTCTAGGATCCAAGCTTAGTACATAACAGTAGCAAAAGTCATTTTAGGGCATGATTTTAAAAGATGGTGCCTGAGACTATTATATTATAGGCTGCATGCAAACCACACATTTAAAGCACATTCCCCACCCCAAGGATCCTACAAACCAGGGCTTTTTTTTCATCCGGAACTCACCGGAACTCAGTTCAGGCACCTCTCAGGAAGGTGCCATTGCTATTCTAAGAGAAAGAGAGAGGTGTTTGTGGTGAGTTCTGACACCTCTTGTTCTACAAACATAGCACTGCTGCAAACTATATTTTACCCCCCTTCACTTTAGTACAAGTCCAAGCACCTTTAACAAACTAGAGTTTCTAGGATTCCTTGGGCAGGATGTGTGTTTTAAGTGTATAGTACATACACAGCCTTATACATACGCAAGTGAGCTTTTGCTAAGTGCAAAACAGGTGTCAAGTAACTTTGGGCCAAGGGAACAGATTAGGGGTGACCATTTGCCTTTGAAAATGGAAGTGCTAGACTCCAACTTAAATTGTAAATTTTAAAATCCTAGAAGGTAATTCCAAAACAAATAGATACAAATAGAAACAAATAGATACACTAAAATAGGAAGTTGCTATTTTCTGTTTTGGAACTTATTCAGAGCATATCTGATTTCCAGTTTACATATGCATCATAGGAAGACATTAGCAATTATCCAGAAATATTAACTTAGCTGTCTCTGTAAAATTCTCTGTGTGCTGTAGCAGTCTACAGATTATTGTACACAAGTGGGCTCTGGCAGTAGCATGACAGGTAGCCAGGAGAGGGGGAGGGGGACACAGACAACTGCTAGCATATTACATCAATACAGGTAATAAAGTTGTAATGTCCTATCAATAAAAATATGGATTTTTCTGAAACCACTTGGGTTACAGTATACACAAGAACTAAAATAAATTGCATTGACTTGAATGAACTCTAACGTCACGACGCTACCAATCATATTTGCTACTCCATAACTGTCTTGAAACCAAACAAGGGATAAAAAAAAATGTTTTGACCACATCATATAACCATCAGTCACTCCACGTACCTGGAAGTCTCTATTTGAAGGAAGGGAACTAGCAGAAGGCTCAGCAGGGAACTCTCAGTCCTCTTGCACACAAATTAGAAAAAGAAGCTGGTTTGTAACAGGAAGGCCTTGAAGGGAAGAAAATGTGAGAAAGCTGCTGTGGGACCTCACATTCGAGGACCCCCATCTAGATTGTTTGCTTTACTGCTGTACCGTACCAACTTTGATTCAGAACGCAAACCGAACAGCCTGGTTCACCGACACAGTAAGACAAATTATGCTTACCAGAACAACACAAACCTATGAGCTTCCAGAAAGAACTTGCAGCCACTCTGCATCTCCTGGGTCATTTTGGCTGCGTCACCAACCAAGGTCTGGTTTAGTCAGTAAATGGTCTGGACCCAGGCTTCTGGTTAAGCTATAGCTCGTGGTCAAGGAGGAGAGAGCTTAGCCACAAGACCACATTCAGGTCACATGCTAAGCGGCAGCAAAAAGAAAAAGCAGACTGAGGAGGGGTTAAGCAGTTGCCAGTTTCTCTCTGGGAGCTCCTACATACATGTAGACCTAGTAAGCCATAGTTTGGCTTACCATGTCATGCAAGTGAGGTGAATGTGTGTTTAGGGTAGTGCTTTTTTCTTTAAAAAAATGTTTAGGGGTACTCTCATTTTGACTCAAGAAAATCACCATTTTATAGTTCAACTCGGGGAAAATAAATACAGTAAATGGACAAAAGTACAAAGAACTTGTATTACCTCATATTGCAGAGCTGACAGTTCACTCTCGTCTGAGACTCAGGAAACACTGGGAAAAGAAATGAAGCCACCATCAGAGGAGCTAACAACGAAACTGACCAATCACCGTGCTAGGTTCCAACTCCTACTTCACACATTAAACGCTTGCTTCCATCTGAGACTCAGGAAACACTGTAACAGGAAATGAGGCTGCCATCACGGGTA